CAAGATAACTCTTTTCACATCGTACCTCTTACCTAAGGTTTGAATTTGAGAGTTTCTTTTATTAATCTTTAATATTTCTCCTCGAACTCGGAAGTCCGAAAGAACATTAAGCAATTGGAACTTTCTACATCGCGCCTTTAACTCGTTCGTTCAAAGGGTTGAATTTTGAGTCCCTAGTTATTATTCACATCGCACCTCGAACCCGTAGGTTTAGAGGTCCGAATTTCTTGAGCCTTCAACATCGCACCTTTAACTTTATCGTTAAAAGGATTGAATTTTGGCTCGTTATTGATTTTGACATTGCACCTCGAACCCGTAGGTTTTGAGGTTGCCGATTTTAAATCTTACGGGAGTCCGTGGCCCCCATTTAATTTCTAATCGAATTCAGAGTTATGAAATTAAATAACCCCATTTATTGAAAGTTCCGCCCCTTAAAAATTTTTACAAGCCCATTTTGGGACTATTTTGACATTTCAGGGGTAATAGCACTTCAAGTGCTCCGCGTTCCATGGATGCGCAAACACTCTTCCTTCCAGGTCAGCCAGCATATAAGTTCCAGATCGGACTATGCCTTTGACTTCGAATGGTCCCTCCCAACTTGGGTCAAGGGTGCCGACATGACTCTGAATTTTTCTTAAGACTAAATGTCCAACTTGGAAGCTTCGAGGTCAAACTCGGGCATTGTAATGTCTGGCCATTCTGTTCTGATACTCTGTTAAGCGCATCTGAGCCATTTCCCTTTTCCCTTCCAATAAGTCAAGGTTAAGGAGTAGCTCTTTCTCGTTCTTTGTTGGCTCGTACTGTTCTACCCTGTCTGTTGGTATGTCGATCTCGACTGGTACAACAGCTTCGGAGCCAAAGGCTAGCGAGAACGGAGTTTCGCCAGTTGACTCTCTTGGGGTGGTTCGATATGACCACAAAACTTCGGGTAGCTCCTCAGCTCATCTTCCCTTTCTGGAGTCCAACCTTAGTTTGAGTCCTCGCTTTATGATCTTGTTTACTGCTTCAACCTGCCCATTTGCTTTTGGATGCGCAGGGGGCGAACTGAGGTGGCTTATACTCAGTTTTCTGCAAAAGTCCTTGAACTTTGCATTGTCAAACTGTTTTCCGTTATCCGTCACAATAGCATTGGGTATGCCAAAGCGGCACACGATGTTTGTCCATATGAACGACGTGACTCTGGACTGTGTGATGTGGGATAGTGCCTCGGCTTCGGCTCACTTAGTGAAGTAGTCCACAGCGACAACGGCGAACTTTGTTTGTCCTTTGCCTAGAGGAAAATGACCTATGATGTCTACCCCTCATTGCGCAAATGGCCATGGGGCCGAGATGGGGGTGAGCAGTTCGGGAGGTTGATGGATAATGTTTGCGAAACGCTGGCAGTTGTCACAAGCTTTCACAAACTGCTTTGCATCCTGCTCGACACTAGGCCAATAGTACCCTTGTCGAACCACCTTGGCTGACAACGACCTGGCGCCATAGTGGTTTTCACACACCCCTTCATGAACATCCCTAAGAATGTAAAGGCCTTCTTCAGGAGTCACACACTTGAGCAGAGGCAAGGAGAAGCCACGTCGGCACAAACTGGTCTTCGCGCCATCTTCTTTTGCTCTTTCGGATCTTGCGGTGGGTTTCCTTTGATGAAATCCACGATTGGGTCCATCCAAGTGGGTGATGGAGTATCAACCTTCATGACATTTGGCTCCAAGATTGAAGGAGTGTCCAAGATCTCGACCGGGACCGATCTAGCCAGGTCGGTCTCATACGCTAATGCCAATTTAGCTAAGGCATCCGCATTAGAGTTTTCAGATCTTGGAACTTGACTCACCTCGTAAGTCCCGAACTGGGCGAGGTGTGATCTGACCTTGCTTAGATATTTTTCCATTCGGGGGTTCTTTGTTTGGTACTTCTCCTTAATCTGATTCACGATTAGCTGGGAGTCACTAAAGACCTTAACGTGGTTGGCCCCCAGCCCTTTGGTAACGCGCAGGCCTGCTAGGAGTGCTTCATACTCGGCCTCATTATTTGACGTCCGAAAGTTGAACCGCAGAACATATTCGAATCGCTCACCTTCTGGTGCGAGCAAGAGGATTCCTGCCCCGCACCCCCTCTCGTTAGAAGATCCATCAACGTAGATCGTCCACGGGAGGTCGGACTTGGCCAACTGAGGTGGTGGAGTGAGCTCTGGGATAAAATCTACCACTGCTTGCCCTTTGAACGCGGTTCTGGACTCGAACTGGATGTCGTACTCGCTCAACTCTAATGCCCACATCATCAGACGCCTTGATGTTTCAGGCTTAAGTAAGATATTCTTTAGGGGCTGGTTGTGAGTACTACGACCGTGTGCGTTTGGAAGTACGGCCTAAGTCTTCGGGCCGAGGTGACTAATGCGAGGGCCAGCTTCTCCATTTGGGGGTATCTGGTCTCGACTTCAGTCATGGCCTTACTGGTGTAATAAACGGGGCTTTGGCTCGCACCCTTCTGCTTGATCAGTGCCGAGCTGACGGCGCTATCAGATACTGCCAGGTACAAGTGGAGCTTTTCTCCTGGTAATGGCTTTGCGAGTAGTGGTGCCGAGCAGAGATAGTCTTTTAACTGCTCTAGCGCTTGCTCGCACTCTACTGTCCATTCGAATGGTCTCTTCTTCCTAAGAACCTTGAAGAAAGGAAGGCATTTGTCCGTTGATCTTGACACGAACCTATTCAAGGTTGCAATCTTGCCATTTAGGCATTGAAGCTGCTTTAGAGTCTTGGGTGCCTCCATCTCGAGCACGGACTTTATCTTCTCTGGGTTAGCCTCAATCCCACGGTTATTTACTATAAAACCAAGGAACTTTCCCGAGGAGACTCCAAAGGCACACTTGGTCGGATTGAGCTTCATTTGATACTTGCGTAGCACTCCAAAGGCTTCGATCAGATCGGAAAGATGCGACTTTGACTGCTTGCTCTTGACAAGCATGTCGTCCACATACACTTCCATATTTCGACCGATCTGCTTGGCGAACATTTTGTTCACCATCCTTTGGTAGGTCGCACCTGCATTCTTTAAGCCAAAAGGCATCACCTTGTAGCAGTACATACCTTGGTCTGTTATAAACGCGGTATGATCTTGGTTTGGTAAATGCATTTTAATTTGATTGTATCCGGAGTAGGCATCCATGAAGGTGAGTAGCTCGTGCCCGACTGTTGCGTCCACGAGCTGGTCGATCCTCGGAAGGGGGAAGCAATCTTTTGGGCATGCCTTATTTAAATTAGTGAAGTCCACGCACATCCTCCACTTCCCGTTGGATAATACTACATTAGAGAGCCACTCAGGATACAAAATTTCTAGTATATATTCAACTTTTAAGAGTTTATTTACTTCCTCAACAATTACATCACTCCTCTCTCTATTTACAGGTCTTCTTTTTTGCTTTACAGGTTGGAATGATGGGTCTATGTTGAGGCGATGCACCATAATCTTTGGGTCGATGCCAGGCATGTCCTCGTGAGACCATGTGAAGACGTCCGAGTTAGACCTGGGGAAGTTGATCAGTTCTTCCCTGTCAGTGGCCCCCAGCTTGGTTCCTATGCTTACTTGTTTTTCAAAGCTAAGTAAAGGAACAAGCACGAACTCTTCTGTTGGCGGGGAGAACTGCCTTTTGCCTTCCTTGGGTAGGTTTGTCTCGGACCCTTGCAGCTTGCCACGATTGGCTTGCTTTTCCAGGGCGCATACCGCTGACCCTTTAAGCGTGGATGCATAACACTCCCGCGAGGTTTTTTGCTCACCTCAGACCATGCCCACTCCATTCGGGGTTGAGTACTTCAAGACTTGATGCAATGTTGAGGGGACAGCCCGAAATTAGTGGATAATGGGTCTCCCAAAAATGGCGTTGTAGGCCAATCTGCCGTCGATTACCACGAACTCGGCCATCTGCGTTACTTGGGTAGCATCTTGCCCGATCATTACCGGCAGGTCAATGCACCCTTCTAGGGAGACCGATTCTCTAGAGAATCCAGCCAAGGGTGTTGGACTCTTCTTCAATTGTGACTTGGTCCATCCCAATGCTAGATATGTTTTGAGGGACAAGATGTTGGCAGATGCACCTCCATCAACCAATACTCTTTGGACCAGGACGTGATCAATGAGAGGGGCGATCACGAGCGCGTCATTATGGGGCAAATGGATCCCCTCCAGATCGGCATCCCCGAAAGTGATGGAGCAAGTGGGCTTTTACTCTCTGATGATGCATACCTCGCGCCTGGCCTCGCGAGCTAGCTCCTTCCTCTTGTTTCCGGACTGGCCCCCGCTCGGACCTCCGAAAATAGTGTTGATGACCGCAGGTCGATCATCTCGGCAAGGCGGTGTTCTTGAACGCTTTCTCTTTTCCTTCTTTTCAACCGAGTTAGACCTCGGTTTGCCCACGAACTTTTTAAAGTAGCCATCTTGAATGAGGCCTTCAATCTGGCGCTTCAATTCCCAGCAGCTTGTCGTATTATGGTCGTGATCGCGATGAAAACGGCAGTACTTATCTTTGTTGCGCTTCTCCGGGTCTCCTTGGAGCTTCTCAGGTCGCTTGAGGAGCTTTTCCATCCCACTTTCCTCGATATTCGTGAGTATCTCGGAGATGGGGATGGTGGTTGGAGTATACCGTTCATAAGGTCGGCTCCGGCTGGGGCCGCTCTCCAACCTACGGTACTCTGTTCTGCTGGCGGATGAGGAAGATCCCTTATCTCTATACTTGGAATCAGCCTTCTTCTTCTCTTGGCTCAACTTCTTCTGGTCGATCTGCTTCTCAGGTCGGCCAGTTTTGGTTCGGAGGAGCTCTTGCCCATCAATGACCTTCTTCGCCTTCTGCAGGACTTCGGCGAAGGTGGCTGGAGCCTCCTCTCCAAGTTTTACTGTTAAGGTCTCATCGGCCAGGCCGGTGAGGAAGTAG